TTGCTCAATTCTTCCAATGACATAACCATCCCTCCCCCTACCATAATAGTTTATAATCAAAACTATTTTGGGCATGGAGTCTGGAGAGATGGCTCAGCAGTTAAGAGCACATACTGCTTTTGCAGAGGACCTAAGTTTGGTTCCCAGAACCCCCATCAGGAGGCTCACAGCACCCCTAACTCTAGTTCCAGGAGAGCTCCCTCTTCTGGCCTCTGCCGCACCTGCACTCACATGCACATGTGACAGACAAACACACACACACACACACACACACACACACACACACACACATACATATATGAGAATGAATTCTTAAAAAGCATTTGTGCCATGGTACATATGTGGACATTGGAGGACAGCTATCAGGTGTTGGTTCTCTGCTTCTACCATGTGTGTTCCAGGCCCAGCTCAATCTTGGTCTTCAGGCTTGGTGTCAAGCAAGAGATATCTTGCCAACTCCAAAAAATTATTTTAAGGATTTAATGACTGACAATAACACATCCTAAATTCTTTCTTTTACACAGTATTAGTGATTGAACCCAAAGTTATCTATGGAATGGGTAGGTGTCCTACAACTTAGCTACACCCCACAATTTTTAAAGTGAAAATTGGCAATGGCCTGAGTTGCAGAAAATTTGGTTCCTCCTGACCTTTGTAGAAATTTTCCTTTTCTTGATGTTTGAATCTTGTGTTCTGTAATTGAATCTTGGTACTAGGTACTCGGAGCTGGAATCCTGCTACTCTGGACTCAGAACTGGAATCCTGGTACTCAGTATTCGGGAGCTGGGATCCTGGTATTCTGTACTCAGAGCTAGAATCTCGGTACTCCATACTGGGTGCCGGAATCCTGTAGAATAGTTCCTCAACTTGGTACAGTCAGTTTTTGTTCTCTGAAGCAGCACAGCATAGCAGTTGAGACTCAGAAGAAGTAAAGAAAAGAGGAATCATGAAGGGAAAGGGGTGAGTGAGACCAGGTCTCACCATCACAGACCTCCCAGAAGACTGATTTCAACAAATGATATGTGGAACTAGGAGAATTGAATGCTGACTTTGTTTTTAAAAAAGATCACACCTTCATGTCCCCAGAAGACTATTGCGCTTCTATCCACGGACCTCAGTTTTAAGATGATTGTGCAAAATTCTTTTCACCAAGACCCAAGTGCTCTGGAAGGCCACCATGTGTGATCTGCCCCTCACTGGCACGTACACTGTCATGCAGTATGCATTCCCTTGACGTGTATTAATGCCTTGCTTTAGCGCAGTGTTTCCTTAATGGAGACGGTGAAATGTGCTGAAGATAAAGTTTCCCACCTGAGGATATTTGGACACCGGACATGGCTGTTTCCTAGGAAACTAAGGACAGTTGATATGTCACCATGGAAAGACATAAACCCTTTCATTATGTTTTTTGTTTGTTTGTTTGTTTTATGGTGATGGTAAGAAGTGTAGCCTTTGCCAGCATGGGAATATGCCTCTGAAATGTCCAGGTGGGCAGTGTTTGCCTGGGTTTTTCTCCCAACAGTTGCTAAGGGCCCTTCGCTCAGTGCCCAGCGGATCAGGCTCTGACTTCTTTGAAGTGTTCTCATAGAAAGCTTTCCTTTGTTCCCCTTCCCTTGGTCATTGCGTAAGACTCCTTTCTGCCTGGTCTTATTTTTAAGCAGGAGGAATGGACTTTAAATCTATTGTGCTAGGCTGGGAATTTTTTCTTCAGTATGTTTATTAAGTAGAAGCTTGATGGTGGCTGACTTCAGAGAAACGAGCCCTTCTGCAGCATTAATTATTCTCCTTGTAGGTGAGGTGTTTTCCCAACCGGCTCACTCTTGAAACTCAATTACGTAACAGGGCCTGAAGCTCGGCAAACTTCAAATCCCCAAGGGCGGTTTAGCAGGTGTGAAAGGAGCATCATTAAGGCAGCCAGGGTCAGTGATGGGAAGTAGGTAGAGCATTAGATCTGCACACACCCTTACCATACGTCCCGAGAAAGAGAGAGAGAGAGAGAGAGAGAGAGAGAGAGAGAGAGAGAGAACTGATCAAAACAGACAGTAAGTTAAGGATGTAACACCTCCCAGGCTTCCTGGTTCAGACTCCTGAGGCAACCCTGCTGTGTGTGGATGGTCCAGGACCCATGCTCGCCACCAGGAAAGTCTTCTATCTTAGCCAGCAAGATCCTCTGTTGCCTACCACTCTTTCTTTGTCTAAGAAGGAAGAGTTGAGACAAAGTCTTTCAATCTTTCTAAGGACCAGGAGTCCTTTTTTTTTCTCCTTAGAGTTGTTACTAATCCTCTATAAGCTATGGCGATTCTCTTATTTATTTGCAACCATACTTTCTCTCATACATGCCAGATGCAGTGTATGACAGAGCCTAGCCTGACACAGCTACAAGCAGACGAGGGAGTTTGTGGTTTTATAGAGGACTTTAACCTTCGCTTTAGAGAGCTCTGCTTTCTCTAGATCTGTAACTCCACCTCTGTGCAATCGACTACATGTTGGAAGGTTTCGTCAAAGTTGTCACGGGTTGCTAACAACTTCTAAATAGGAAAGGGTGGGAGAGAATCTGGTTTTGTTACTTTGATTTTCTTTTAGTCACTCAGAAAGTGGAGCTTGGCCCAGACTGAATGTTCTCTTTCTCTATAGAGTATGAGGTGAGCCCTAATCTGAATTCCTTCTTTGCCTTTGACCAACTCTAGGGAATACTGAAAACTCTAAAAACAAACCTCAGTTGTGTTCTTCCTAGGAGAGAACCCAAACAAAGGTACTTGGCAGGAGAAGGACCCGCCTTCTCCCAAGACCAGTATTTCAGAGCTCCACTGCAGCACACAATTTGCTTAAGAAAGGTCTTGAGTGTTGCCTATTTGCCCTATTTGGGGACCAAGGTCCCAGAATTCCTAGTATGTGTTTAACATTACGTGTAGTTATTCCATTATAATGGTAAGTAGAATATCATGGACATGGGATAACATTTACTCTGTCCTCCTAAGATTAGAATAAGTAGACCTCCAGGGTTGTGTAAGTATTTACCGCACCTGGGAGAGAGCTAGCGCATTGTGTGTGTCAATAAATGTTAAAGCCCTGCCCTTCCCCATCCTCTTAACTGGAGTGCAGTACAGGTAGGTTTAAGATATAACACACATGAACACAGGAAATAGGAAAAGTGATTGTAAAAGACACCAAGACAAACAAAGAGTGGGTGTGACTCACATGGATCTTCTCAGAGTTATGTTGCGTGTACCCATGTCTTAGTGACTTTAAAGGTTGTGTGGACTGTACCATTGGCTATTTATTGAGCAGACCTTCAGCGAAGAAATACAACAATGAAGCCGAGGGGACAGGGCAGTCAGGGCCAGTGGGAATGTAAGATATTAATATACCTAGACACTATGGCATGTGTCTAGAGTCCCGGCACTTAGAAGGCTGAAGCTAGAGGTCTGCCATACATTAGAAGCTAGTTTAGACTACATTGCAATTTCTAGACCAGTCTGGGTTATAGAGTGGGGCCCTGCCCAAGAAACATGTAAACGAAAAAGATCTTTTATTTAAAAAAAAAATTATTTATTTTTTTAAATTTTATTTTACATTCCAGCCACGATTCTCCCTCCCATCCCTTCTTCCGTCCCCCGTTGCCTATACCCCAGCCCACCCCTCATTCACTCCTCCCAACAGGTAAGGGCTGCCATAGGGAGTCAACAAGGTCTGGCACATTAAGTTGGAGCAGGACCAAGCCCTTCCCCCTCCATTAAGGCTGAGCATGGCATCCCACCATAGAGAATGGTCTCCAACAAGCTAACTCATGCACCAGGGATAGATCCTGGTCCTACTGCAAGGGGCCTCTCAGATAGTCCAAGCTTCCCCACTATCTCCCACATGTGGAGGGCCTAGTTTGGTCCCATGGATACTCCACAGCTATTGTTCTGGAGTTTATGAGTTTCCATGAGCTTGGTTCAACTGTCTCTGTAGATTTTTCCATCATGACCTTGATCTACTTTGATCAGGTGTCCCTCTTCCCTCTCTTCGATTGGACTCCCAGAGCTAGGCCAGGTGCTTGGTTGTGGATCTCTGCATCTGATTCCTTCAGTTACTGGATAATAGTTGGGGTATTCACCAATCTGATTACAGGGGGAGGCCAGTTTGGGCATCCTCTCAACTATTGCTCGGAGTCTGAGCTGGGGTCATTCTTGTGGATTCTAGAGAATTCTACTGGTACCAGGTTTCTCCCTAGCCCCATAGTGGCTCTCCCTATAGAGATCTCTCTTCCATTGTTCTCCCACTCTGTCCCTCTCCCCCCCTCAACCATCCCATTCCCTCATGTTCTCTCCTCCCATCTCCTCCCCTTTACCCCACCCCCACCCCCACAAAACACTGGGTCCCTTTGAGTTCAGAAAGTAAGAAAAGACGATGCAAATAATTAGTTGTTTCTTATGTATATGCTTAAGGTGGAGGCACAGGGAACACTATGAATGAGATCATGCCTTGTGGGGTAGCAGCCTACTGAGCTTCCCTATACCTTTTGATATCTTCTCAGATCCGGGTTGTCTCTGTTTGAACCCTGGCTCTAATCAGCAGCAGCATCTTCAGGGGTACTTCTCTTCAATGTGTCTACCTTCATGAGAAATAAAGAATAATCATTTTTTGCTTCAAAAAATTTTTAAATTATGTATATGGAAGACCCTAATTCAGTCATTGATTGGAGCTGCCAAATTCCTCCTTATTCACTATTTCAAGGAAACAGAAAATCACAATTACGGGGGTGGGATACATACAAATTCTGGGTCCATTTTACTCTTGGTTATCAAATTTAGTAAAAACTGAAAATAAAAAAAAAATGTTAGAGTATATGCTAATGAGTACTGAACCGTAAGGAATGTTTCTTCATTTTGATTATTCATGCCGTTGCGTGAGTCAGCGCTTGGCTTGGCAACGTGTTCTAGTGAGGTTAAGTAGGCTCGGATTTCCCTTCCTTCTTAGATGAATAAATGAAGCGGCTTCTTTTTGTTTAATTCCAGTGACAAAATGTTCCCGGCTTTTGGGTTTGGCGCCAGGATACCCCCAGAGTACACGGTGAGTGAGCAGAGGTGGGATCGTGTACCGCACTGTGGAATCTCATCTTGGCAAGCTTGCTCTTGCTCTCTACGAAGCTATGGTGGTCCGAGAGTGCCTTTGGCAAAATAAATAAATAAATACATAAATAAATAAAATCTGGGTATTCTTGGTATATATTTTGAAGGTCTAGTTACAGGAATCTCTAGCTCACTGCCAATATGGTGAGAGACTGAAGAAACACCCCAAACCACTGGGTTCCAGGGATTCAAACTGTGTCCATCCAGATCTTGCAGGCTAAAGAAAAACTTGAGATAAATGAACCAAGTAGGGCAGCTCACTTGCCTGGACAGTGGGCACACACCAGCTGCTTCACCTGTGACCTCCCACTAAGAAAGGAGGCACCTGTCTTTTAATGAGGTGACCTATTTTTTAGTGCCCAAGAGATTCAATGGTCAGAAATATCTTCGAGGTGGAATTTTCCATGAAATTCCAAGTGATTTAATAAAACTGTCCAGATGGCAGAAGAGCCCATTTCTTTTATCAGATTTTAGGGGGAAGAAAACAGCAGGCAGTGTATCATCTGCCCTTCTGCTTAGGCACTGCCAGGCAGGGGAGCTTGTGATGGAAGATTGCAGGCTCTATCACTCTATTCACTTTTTTCAGAAGTAGAAGTCATTCTAGTTCACCTGTGTGTACATGAAGATCCTCGTGCACTGTAATTCTGTCTGTCAGGATGATCCCTAAATGTCAGCAGCTCAGCCAGTGCCTCTGTAAGCAGCACCATACCTATCAGTCAGCTTGAGTTAATGGAGTTCTTATTTTCTTACACAGGTGGACACAGAGCTCATTCAACTTTAACCCTTTAGCCTGTGGCCAGTTTAATCTAGAAACGATCTGTAGTTACCTTTTTCTGAAGCCTTTTCTTTTTCTTTCTTTCTTTCTTTCTTTTTTTTTTAAAAAAAAATATAGATGTGCTTTACTTCCCCCTCCTGCCAGCATTTATCTGATTCTAGAAAAATCTTCCTGCCACTTCAGCTCCACAGGGAGCTGAGAATTCACCCTCCATCTCTGATTGTATAATGGCTTCAAATGGTGCCTTCTGCTTAACTCACAACAAATGCAATGCCATTTGTTTGCAAACCCCAAGCCCCCAGTGCCTTCTTATTCAATCCAAGTTATAATTCTCCTTTCTTCCTTTTTTTAAAATTTTAATCGGTGTTTAGGTCTCTCATGACTTTGCAATCAACTTTAATGAAGATAACCCAGAGTGTGCAGGTAAGTCACGACAAGAAAGGAACAAGTGTCTCAGGCTCTGCATCTCTCTAGGTTCAGTTCTTCTATCCCAGAGCAGCAGCTCAGCTGGGAGTGTCCACGGCACAGAAACAGGTTCGGAGAATCCAAATTAGCCACCCTGCTCCACGGGGACTGGAGGATCACATTATGGAGTGGGACAATGCACCCTGGAAGAGGCAAGGCTGGGTTCTTCTAACCAAAATAAAGTTAATCAATCAATTAGTTTTACTCAATTCATGGATTAAAGATTAATTTTTATTTTTTTAAATAAAAGATGAGACATTCCTCTTTCTGCTTCTCAACTTTTCATCTGGATTTTCCTCGGCCTCCTCTCTGTGTAGAGTTAAAGAGAGAGTGAAAGGCAGAAATCACTTGACACGTCCAGCACACTGACCGAGGTGATTTTGAACAAAGAGCTTCATGGTTTTGTTCAAGAAAGAGCCCCAAGGCTTAAACACTTGGTCTAGCCCACGTTACTGTGTTTTCTCCCGGCCAGATTCCAACACCTGGCTTCACAAAACAATGATGCTGAAAGAACAATGGTAATTATCATATATTCTGCTTCAACAAGGAACAAGTAGCCGAGTACCTATGAGGCTGTGGAGGCAGATATTTCTAGAGTATAAATGTTCATATTTCTTTCTCATTCTTATCGAGGAAGAAGTGGGCTACACCCCGGTTAACTGAGATGTAGTGAAGGGTGAGATCTCTGGGATTTCTTCACAAACTTGGCATTTAGTGTCCAAGACTGTGATACCCACATCATCAGATCTGAGCACAGTAGCCTCTTAGTCACGATCAACATTATTCTGGTATCCTTCTCCATTACTCAACCCAGCTTATTACAATTTCTGCTCCTCTATTCTCCAGACATCCCAGCCTAGCTGAAGCCCTGAGCTTCCTCTTTAGGGAAAGACCCTGCCACAAGACAGTAAAGTGGTTTCCCACCAGGGGAGACTGAGAAACACAGTCTACTGCTTACCATTTCACAGACTTGAAGTTCAAAGGCCTGATAATTTTGAAAAGAAAATCAAACTTCCTTATATTAGGCCAAGGTTTGTGTGCCAAAAGGAAAAGGAAGTTTCCGTTCGGCCTCACTTTGCTTCTGCTACACACTGTGAAATGATCTGACATCTACCTTTGGAATGGCAGACATTCTTGGTGTTCCAGGCTGGCCAAGGTGGGTGGAGTGTTGTCAATAAGGTTGGAAACCAGTGTGAGGCAGAACAGAACTTGCCCGTCCGAATTGTCCCCAAGCTGAAACAGTGTGGTGGCTGTGGAGAGCAATTTCAGCAGTGACTCCTAGGAAGCCCTAAGGTCACAATATAGAGCAGTGTGCTGCTTTGGTGCCAGGAAGGCTCGAAGGATGAGCTGAAGCATGAGAAAGCAAAAGGCACCAACAGCATCCTTATGAATAAAAGGGATTTATAATGACAAATTATCTAACATGGTTTTCTGGGAGCCAAACTGTAGCGTGAAACATGTAAAAACCCATCACGTCTGAAGAACAGCGTGGGCAGAGCTACCTCCCCCGGCAGACTCCTAGCCTGTTTCTGTTCCCTGAGCTCGTGTGAGTGCCCTTCTGTAAATGAGTGATTGACAGCAGTTATCTCATAACTTGCTACCTGGGAGCATGCGGACGGTTTGCTCATTCACGACACTGTTGGTGTGTTCCCAGCACTGCTTCAAGCACTTTGGGGGAAGACAGAAGTGGTTCTTGCCTTCAGTGAGTGTAATATCTCGAGAGATGGTCACATGTGCACATGACAGCTACAGACAGTCCAGGCAGTATTTATTCTAAAATCAGCACCATGGTAAAACAAAACAGAAACTTGCTTGGGGCTTCTCTCAGCCCGAAGACCTGGATGTATATGCAGAGTCTGTAGCTCAGTTTTTCTGGGGCCTGGGGTAGACTTTGTAACCTCTTTAAGCCTCTGCTTCTTCATCTATAAAATGGTTGCAGCTTCTGCTTCCTTAAACTATGGTGACCTAATAAGGACTTAAGTGGGGCAAAGTTTGTGGAAACAATGGCTTTTGATTTGATTCACAATGTGGTTTGATTTCAGTGGGGGAAGGGAGGCAGCAGTACACTGACCTAGTATTTCCTTTTGCCTTAAAAACTACATGTGACTGTACCCTGTACCTGTTAGCTTGGAGTTTTGTGGGACTCCTAACAATGGGAGCAGGGTGCCTCTGATTCTTTTGCCTATTCCTGGGATCCTTTTCCTCCTATTAGGCAGCCTCATCCAGTCTTGATATGAGAGTTTGTGCCTAGTCTCGTTATATCTTGTTATGCTGTGTTTGGTTGATACCTTTGGGAGGCCTGGTCTTTTTAAACAGAGAAGAAGTGGGTCTTGGGGAAAGAGAACAGAGTGGGTAAAGAACTAGAAGGAGTGGAGAGGAAAAATTGAAATTGGGATATATTGTATAAGAGAAGAATAAATAAAAAGAAAAAGGGGAAACCTATGTTGGTGTAGATAAGGACTATTTGGACAAAGCTATGTTTTACTTTTGGGTGTGTGCAAATCCATCTGAAGGAACTATGGACGTGTTGATTTTTCCCATCTCACTTTAGGAATTCAAGGAGTTGTGGAAGCCTATCAGAGCTGTCTTCCCAAACTCCAGCTTTATGGCCCCACCAACATTGCTCCCATCATTCAGAAGGTTGCCAAGTCAGCCTCGGAGGAGACCAACACCAAGGAGGCATCGGTAAGGAGAGGGACAGGTCACTTATACTGGGAACTTACCCTGCCTCTTTTGGGTATTGGTCATGACACCCGTTATAGTCTGACAAACAATTCTAGTTTTTCTTTTGTTTTTAGATTAATTATTTGATTTTATTTGTATTTATTTATTTATTTGGAATGGTTGAATCGTGCTGTCATAGGGTAGCTGGGTTCTGGCTGTACCATACTGCTCTTTCTATTATTGATTGTGTTCTTACACTGATGTACAGGTATCTGGATGTGGGACAACTGTAGGTTTAGGTGTTGATTCCTGATTTTTGTCTTTGTTGGATGGATGTTTTGTTCCTTGGTTTCTGTTTCCTTTCTGCTCTTCTGGCCCAAGCGGCCAAGGGTTCTGATGACTGGTGAGTCTTCAGGCCCAGTAGGGGCTTTCCACTGGGGTTTTGGGGGCCTTGGGTCCCTAGATCCTGCCTAGCCTCCAGTAAAGCATTCTTCTCCAGATGCTGTAGCCCAGAATATGGAGGCCAGCAGAGGAGGTACAGTCTAGGTTTGTTGGGCTGGCTTTAAGAAGTGTTAATGGGCAGTAGGTAGTGTCTTACCTGAGGTCCCTAGGACCAGTCTGGCCTCTGGTAAAGCTGCTACTGATAAGAACGAGGGGGAGGGGCCAAAGGATATGCCCTGGAATCAGGGTCTGGTGATATGAGCAAGTGGGAGGGGACAAAGGATGTGCCCTGGATCAGGGTCTGGGAAGTGCCCAGGCTCAGCTGGAAGGTTAGTCACTCACCTGTTCTTCCCACTGATGTTAATTGTCCCTGGGTCAATGAAGTCCACTGGAGTTGTGGGGAAGGTATGGCTGCTGAGGTTGATAAGGTGAGAGGGGTTGGGCAGTGGGGTGTGACTTGAGAGAGCGGAATCCAGAGGATGAGGGAAGGCAGGCAGGTCACCACTGGTGAAGACTTCCCCAGAGCAATGAAATTCCATGAGCTCCCATCCTAGTATTTCCAAATGGCTTAACGTCTCTACCTTCAATTTCTTCATCTGGGAAACAGTGGGTTAATGAGACCCAGATCTGCCAGGATGTATGGTTCAGGGCAGACACAATGGTCTGCCCCTTTGCCCGAACACAGACACTCCGTAGTGGAATCTACTGCAGTCACCTCCTGTCCCAGGGAAGAAAACAAGTCCAAAACTAAGCTTGTTTTCCAATATACCCAGACTGCATAAATAAAGCAGTAGTTGAAGGGCTGGGGCAATGCTCAGAGTCAAATAGTGCTTGATATGTAACCATGAGAAAGTGAATTTGAACCCACAGCACCTAGACAGACATCCAGGCATGGCTGTGCATGCCTACAAACCCAGCATTCACTTAGGGTGGAGACATGCGGATACCTAGAGTGCTCTGGCCTCCGAGCCTCGCTGAAACCTTGAACTTCCAGTCAGTGAGAGACTCTTTCAGAACAGTAAAGTGAGGGTGACAAGGGAAGATGCCCAATATCCTACCCTGACCTCCATCCACGTGTGTGTGTGTATGTGTGCACAAGAGTGCATGCACCCGCAAACGCCAGTGAAACATGCACACTCTCCACAAAAAATAAAATGGTGATTCTACCTCATGGTGATGAAGAATAGTAGTAGAAAATACCACAACAAACATTTGCTTCAATTGTTTGGTTTTATTTTTTAGGAAAGATACAAACTACAGCTCCAAAGCTGAGTCAAAACTGGAGCCTGTCCTTTGACATTTTAGAAGTAAACATGTCACCACAATCCCTTTCCCGGCTGTTATTTAATGGTGTCAGCCTGGTCCTAACTAACTTTATGATGTTTTCCAAATGGAGCAAGCACTGTAGCTGTCTGAAAGCTCTGTGTAACTTGAGCGTGGTTTCCGGGATGACACATTCGCATAAAGAAGATAGCCTTCTACCCTCATCCTGCAATAATTCCCTGGGCCTGCTTGCTCTGTCCCCGTGTTCCCTTGGGTTCGGCTAGAGTGAGGACCACATTTCTACCAAGTGTCAGCCGCTACTTTTGTGCACTGGAACACATCCTCTCTCAGTTATCCCGAGACTGAACCGACATCCGCCCTCCCTCCCTTGTGTAGACTTTCCTGAAGTATCTCCCAGTTAATCCGAAGCTGCGCTTCCTTGGCCGTCCTCTGCCCGTTAGCCTTTGTCCCTAGCATTCTAACCCTGTGCAGCAAATTCCTTGAGAGTAAGCTGCTTGGCTTGTCTCCATCCCTCTTCCCACTTGATCCTCCCCACAAACCTGTGGGGGGAGGGTTCTTCACCAGCATCCCTCTGCAGACTACTCTTGTCAAAGTTAGACATTCCATCTTGTTGTCTCACTGACCACTCTGCTGGTCTCTCTGCCTCCTCCAACTCCTTCTTCTCCTCCTCACTTCTCACTGCTAAATCTCCTCTGCCATCTGTCTAGGGTGATATTGTTAATTGCCATGGCCTCATATACCTCTTGAATGCTATTATTGTCAAACATGAATCAATAGCCAGTCTTTCCTCCGGACTTCACATCATCATTCAACTATTATTATCTTCATCTAGATGTTGAATAGCACAAATGCAGAGTCCAAATCAGAGTCCTTGGTAGTCTCTAAGACCCTACTTTTCTCCTTAAAACTCTATCTCCTACTACTACTCCCCCCCCCAACACACACACAAGGCTGATGGGCTTTCCTTCCCAGCATCCTTGTCTTCTCCATCTCTATACTACCATAACACAACTAGTTGCTTAGGCTATGACTTTGAAATAATCTGGGTTCCTTGGCTTACCTCATTTTCTGTTGCTCAAAGACAGACACCCTTAACCAAGTTAAAACCACAATAAACATTGATTACCTCCACACTTTCTGTGGGTCAGAGATGCAAGCATAACTGGCCTGTGTGACCCTGAATTAGGTCTCCCAAATTTGCAGTTAAAATACTGGCAGGGATGAGGTCCTTTGAAGGGTGACTTGAGACTGGAAGATCTGCTAATAAGATGGCTTGGTCATATGTCTGCCTTGGAATTGCTTGTTCCTGGTCAGAAACCTCATTTCTTCCTTGCTCAGGGGAGCTACTAAAGCTACCCACAACACTGCAGCTGGCTCCATTCAAGCAATCCAACAGAAGACAAGGAAGGAGTAACCTTGTCTCATAACTTCCCACAGAAGTCTCACTCCATCATCTCAGAATACCCTGCTGATTGCATGGGCCATTTCAGTTCAGTGTGGGTTAAAACAAGGACGTTAACTAGGAAGTGCGGGTGGTTGGGTGCCATCTTGAAATCCTGCTAACACCCACCCTCATCTGATTCACCGACAAGTTATGACACTAGTCTATCTTCCAACTACATCCCAAGTGTTCCCGCTTCTTGGTACCTTTGTGACTACTGTCTATTCTGGGCCAACAACTGTTTTCACTTAGACTGAGGCAAATCCTAAGTGGACTCTACATCTTTCCCCAGGGCATCTGTGCTTCATTGAAAAGCAGACCAATCTTCTGAAAACATAATTATGAGGTTGACAATGTAACTCAGTTGTCAGAGCGCTTAGCATGCATGTACAGAGCCCTGGACTCAATCCCTGCACCACATAAAGCCAGTCTGATAGAGGACACCATAACACCAGAATTCAGTAGAGACAAGAGTAGTAGAAGTTTAGGGTCATCTTCAGTTGCATAGTCTGTTCAAGGCCTTCCTGAGATAAGTTCAATCTCTCCAGCTCCTGAAACAGATTTTTAAAAAAAATGAAACTAAAAGCACATTCTTGCCAACTAAGAAAGCCTGTCTCCTTTCCTTTGTTGACAAGAGCATCCAAGAGATCCTCTGGAAATCCCTGTAGCTTAATTTTAAGAGTAGATGCTTTCAATCTCCCTGGGATCCCAGGACCTACAAAAGTAAAGGGACAACCTCACAGGGACAGGTGTGGATGCTGTGCTGCGAATCCAAGCCAACATGAGGCCATGGCATCGCTCCCAACTCCAGGCCAGGGGAGTCTACTCCTAAAAAGACTGAGATAGTCAAATCACAGAACCACATGTAAGAAGTATCTACAAATAAAATGCCAGATAAATGGCTCTGATGGGATATCTGGGTAATTATTCTTTCCCTGGAGATTTCTCTTGAGGTTGGACACTGGGGCCTGGGGTCTTTCATTATTACTCCCAAGGGGCACAAGCTTAAGCCCCACAGGCAAACTGTGTCAGGGGATCTTGTAATAGGATTTTCTCTTTGATATTACAGAATTATTCTAGGGATAAAAACGCATCTCCATAGACCTCAGATATATTCATAGATGAAAATAATTCACACACAGATGCTTTCCTGGCCTGACTTTGGGGTGAGCTGTTGTGGCAACCTGACTCCAGAGAGTTCTTAATCTTTGTTGTTGTTGTGAATTAGCTTGAATATAAGTTCATCCTTATTCTTACACTAGTCTTTGTAACGCTGAGTACCAAACCCAGGATATCACATGTCTGACCCATGCTCTACCAACAAACTAATGCTTCTGCCTGGAATGTCTTAGTCTCCCACACTTACCTCCTTCCGTGATGAGGAATATCTGGGGACTGTGAGGAAAGTTCTCTTGGGTTTCTCCTGTGTTTCATCTCCCAAAGCCTCTTCCCTCCCCTCTCACAGTGAAGCTAGCATAGTGTGCTCATGATGGCCAACATCTACAGTTACGCCAGTGGGTCTTCCTGCACTGACGGCTGCAGTCTTCATTCCAATTCCCATCCCAGGGGAGCCCTGTAGCAGCCTCTCCACATGGAGAGGGAATGGGGAGACAGCAAACCAAGGGCCAGGGTACCTTTCGTATGCCTACGGGGAGAATCATCACAGTGACACATGCCCAGCCCTGTCCCTGTTCCAGCAGAGCTTCCCACCATCTTAGTCCAAAGGAAATACAAGTCTTAGATACAATTTTAAATGCTAGAGTAAACACATTTAAAAAGTAAAGATAAACAAGGAGATCCTTGATGAATAATAAAATCCCAACTAGCAAATAATTGTCATTTTAACATCTGAGTCATATAAAATATGAAAGAAATACTTTGATTTTTGTAGTAAGACTAAAATATTTGTGTATTTTACAATTAATGTCATCTCAATTTAGGTTCTGAGTTATCACAGATACTTGATCTTTATTTCAATATTATAAGTTAATGTATAAAAAATCAATTTTTTGATTTGTTCTAAAATTACTTAAAAGTGTTCAAACTGAATTGAGTATAGATTTTTTTTTTAATTTCAAATTCAGCTCCTCTCTTACTCTGACCACATTTGAAAGGCTCAGTATTTTCATGAGGTTGGTAATTCCTACACTGAACAGCACAGCTGTAGATTTTCAAAGACCCTCAAGCTGAAGGGGACCATACAGGATGATCTTGTCCTTCACATCTTTTGAGAAATTAAGAAACTGAGACCAAGGCATATAGAATATTCCAGGTCTCACAGAATAAGGCTCGGAAGGCAGTTCTCCTGACTCCAAGTCTTCTGTTTTATACGTATCCTGAGTTTTATAATAATCAATAAGATTACTATTATAATTAAGCTACAATCACTGTATCTCCATTCATCATGGTCTTAATTAAGCCTTTAGGGCTACCGTGCAGAGGCTCAAAACATGTCTGTTGTTGACCCGAAGCCCAAATCAGATAGGTTTTAACTGAGAACCTGAAAAGATATAGAAGCAACAAGGGTCTTGAGGTCTCTCTAAAGTTGATGGGAAGACAGAGAGAGAACAGATAGGCTGGGAGGACAGGAGGTTATCTAGAAGGTGGGCACTGGAGGACACAATGTCCTAGGTGGAGTGGTAATGAACGATGACCAACTCTGGTTCGGTTGTGAGCACAGGGAACTGAAGTGAAGTTGATTTGAAGGTTAGCAGACCCACAGAAGCTTGGGACTTGGTAGTTCAGGAGTGAAAATGTAACTGTCACAAATAGAGCCAAAACCACTAGCCTATTTGAGATAGTAACCAAATCAATAGGTAAGAATAAATGAGTATAAAAGGAGACAGAGCTTTCGGGATTGGTGGAGATAGCTTGAAATCTTTGGGGAGCCTTTGAGGAAAATATCCTGCATTTTGAAATGTGGGTCATCAGGAAATGAACTGCTATGTTTTTTAAGGTTTTAGTTTAGGGCAGAAAGTTAAACCAAATGAAGAAACTTTGTGTACAGAAAGCACAAATAGCCATCGTTTTTTCCTCAATGGGTTGGGTTATAACTTTTAGTTTCATATGTAGGATATTATTTTTATTAGTAGAATTTTATCTCTATGCATATTTTTATGAAAATGCTGTAATATATGAAATATATTTCAAAAATAATGTAAAGTATAAGTGTGGACAATAAATAAGGCAAGATTGACCATATGCTGATAATTGTTGATGCCCAGTAATGAACCCATAGATGTGGCCAGGCTATTTTGTTTTTAACATTACATTTTTCTTAACAAAAAAGTTGAAGAAACAAGCAAAATGCCTATTACCTCTGCTGCTATCATTCACTCTACAAGGAGGCCATCTAGATATAGATATCTAACTGATACTGTTGTCATTTTCTCCCCCACCTCATCCCTCATTATCACCTGTCACGGACTCCCGACTCCCGCAGCAATACTTCATCCTGCTGATCCTGACAGATGGTGTCATCACCGACATGGCGGACACCCGGGAGGCCATCGTCCACGCCTCGCACCTCCCCATGTCGGTCATCATCGTGGGAGTGGGGAACGCTGACTTCAGTGACATGCAGATGCTGGACGGTGACGACGGAATTCTAAGGTCACCCAAGGGAGAGCCCGTCCTTCGAGACATCGTCCAGTTTGTGCCCTTCCGGAACTTCAAACACGTATGCATAGACATCATGGGGGGCATCCTCACATCTCTCACAGGTCCGCCAATGTTGATAGTGACCTGTTAGCTCTGAAGCAGCATTAGCAGACCACGTCCAGGCTGAACAAATCCTATAGGAAGGATCATAACTATTTGGGGAAAGGAGCATATATTGAATTAGAATTAAGAAGTCATGGTGGCTGTAGTTGCCAACATTTTGCAAGCGTTTGTCTTCACTCAGGAATTTTAGGACCTCTGGTTGCTTGAGGTTGGTATAGACAGTTGGGACATTTGCTCGGTGATACGTGAGAAAGGAGCAAGGATAAGCAGAAATTCAGCCTGGACCACACTGAAGATTACGTGTTTGTTGTGTGCAGAAAGCATAGACCCTCCATACAGTGAGCCACATTGGCAAGTTAGTCTGCTCACTCAAGAGCAGTATGGTCAAGCTGTTAATAATGAGTATTAATATAGTTTAGTGTGGTCAGTGAGGGGAGAAAATACTGGAGTAAGCTCCTCAAAGCAGACTGGTTCACGGTCAAGAACATACAAACGCATAATCTTTGAATCACTGCTCTGCTAGACAGAAGTCACCTGTATCCTCAGTTTGTACAGTTGTGGATCATTACCCACAGTAAGCAGTAAAGCAGAGCTGTACTTCCTGATTGGCTGGAGAAAGCCCTCTAGAGCAGTGGTTCTCAACCTTCCTAACGCTGTGACCCTTTAGTACAGTTCCTCATATTGGGTGACCCCCCAATCATAAAATTATCTTTGCTACTTCATAACTGGAATTTTGCTGCTGTTATAAATTGTAATGTACATATCTGTGTTTTCCAAAGGATTAGGCGACCCCTGCGAAAGGGTTGTTTGACCCCCGCCAAAGGGGTCACATCTTACAGGTTGAGAACTACAGCTCTAGGTAATGCCCTAGTATGATGTTGAGAACGTTATCACTATGTTTATCCACAGTTCCAATTTGGAGATAATTATCAAGTTCTTGGAGACAGATGTACCTTGAAATTTCCACAAGCCCCACCCCTAAATGAAACCATGAGAACCAACATTAAGACTTCTTTGGGTTCATACAATGCCCTTTCAGAGATGCTTAAACGGTGTCTAAGAGACCATGGAAGTACTGCAGGTGGCCACAGAAAGTCTCCAGCATCCTTTAATTTGTAAACCCTTGTAAACATCGTCCAATAACAGAGCACATCCAGTCCCTGCTATCTGCTACAGTCCTGGATTCTGCTCTGCTGCCGTGGTCACCATTCCAAAGGGAGGGTCTAGACATGAGCCCCTGACCCCGAAGTCTTCAGTGTCCTTTACAGTTTCTTCTCTGGCACCTGTCCCATGAGTGCACAAATGCGTGTATTCCCTCTGGAAACATTCCTGTTGGCTTCTACAGCAGCCCTTTCCCTATGTGGGGCTCCATTACTGTTGAGATCACAGAGAGAGGCTGGCACAGTGTCTTGTCATCCAGTGTATGCACTCTCCCACTGGATGCTTATTTGGAAAAGCCATTCTGCTCCAATGATGCTCACTCAAATGCATTTCCAACATTCTTCACAGCCATTTTCTGGGCTGTGTCCACGCTCACCAAGTTCAATTTGACCTCACTCTGGGACCCCAGCCACACCAGTACCTGCAATCTCAGAGACAGAGATATCCTCTTGTGCTCGCCAGGCATGGCTGCCTGCACCTCTGTCTCTCTGTGACAGGCTTTCCCGTGGTCATTTAGATCAAGCATTCGCCACATAGCCTCAGCTGAACCTTAGATTCCATGGCCTGCCCAACCTCTAAGGGAAGGGACTGTACACTCCAGTGCTGCCCGAATCTGTCTGTCATCATAGTTCAACGTGATCACCATTCTCTTTTTAAAGATGGCCACAGTGTAATTAAAATCATTAAGCAGGCAGGAAATCAATCCCCTGCTGCCAAGCTGAGTGCAGAGGGCATTTTCAAGTTGCAGCAACAGCTGATCTCACCACAAGATCTCTGGTCAATGCTGTGAGGGAAGAGTAACTACCCCGGCATCCAGCCCGTCTTCTGCTTTCCCATAGAGAAGGTTTCTAAAGAAAAGTGCCAAGGCTCCCCAAGCTCCCAAGTTGTCTGCTATGGACAGCAAAGTGCAGCATCAGAAAGGCCCAGCATGCACATTCTGGGACTGGCTCAATTTGCTGCTGCTGTGCTGTGTGACGCTCTCTGCTTCCTAATGCATATGACGTAGAGGGAAGGCTATTCTTAAAGACTTCCCTTGCCTTCCATCACCCAGGCCCAATAAGTAGATGCACTGCCACCAAGTTGGCCTTTAAAGCTAGCCATCACACTTGCCATCATGGGACCCACGCGAGAGCAATGCCGTCAAGCCATGAAAGGTGCTCACCTCTCCTGAGCCTCCTGCTGATCCTCAGATTCCCAGAGTATTCGTGGCGCAAGGCACACACCTGACATGCTGCTTCCTCATCCAGCGTGGCTCCCAGACAGGCCTGACTGGGGCAGCAAGGAAATGAACAAGAGATAGACATAGAGACATACGGAGAAGTAGGGGAGGGTCGGACTTGGTTCTCTGGTGGAAGTTGCAGTGTGCCAGAAACAACAGAACAAGATGATTTAGGTAATCAAGATAGGGGCAGCCTCTGTAGGGTGCAGACTTCGGGCTGTAAAGATGGTGTGGGGAGCTGTGATTGGCGTTTTCTGTATGCACTATCAACATCCTCATTCATGCCAGAGCACGGCTTTGCCATCCCTCGGAGTGAGCCTCACCTGGGGAAGGCTTTGCCGTTCCCATGGGACTGGAATCTTTTACCTAGCCATACCCACGTCAACAATGCACATGGACTCAGGACTTCTCGCACTCAGGGTTCCTCTGTTCCCCACACACCGGGGACCCCTGTGAGCTAATAAAGCAGGAGTGGAGGCTTTGGAAAATTTTCTGGAGGCTTTCATATTTAGGACAAGGATAGCAGAGGAGAATCCACATGCTAAGAAGCCCATGGGTGGATGAGGATTGCTTACAGTTGTACCCAGTGTGTGTGTGTGTTGTGTGTGTATGTGGTATATGTTTGTATGTGTGCATACATTCATGTACACGTAAATAGGTGTGTTTCAAGGGAAAGAGCCGCCTGTTGATCCCGGCCTCCCGGCTAGCTTAGCCCCGAAATAGCCACATAACCACACAGAAATTGAATTCATTAAAACACTGCTTGGCCCATTGGCTCTAGTTTCTTATTTAATTCTTACACCTTAATTTAATCCATTTCTATTAATCTGTGTACCACCACTTGGCAGTGGTTTACTGGGAAAGATTCTAAACAGCATCTTAGTCCATCTTAGGCAGAGGATCCATGGCTTCTCTGATTCTGCCCTTCTTCCTCCCAGCATTCAGTTCTGTTTCCTCTGCCTGCCTAAATTCCGCCCTATCAACTAGGCCAAGGCAGTTTCTTTATTCATTAACCAATGAAAGCAACACACAAACAGAAGGAACTCCTACACCATAGGTCTTTGTCTATGGAGGCCAGGCATTGACATTAGGGGCCTTCCTCTACCCCTTATATTTCTTCTCACCTTATTTTTGAGACAGAGTCTCTGACTAAGCACAAGCTCTATGGCCATGCTGACCAATGAACCCTAAGGACCTCCTTGTCTTCCTCCCAACCACACCATACCACAGCCACAGCACTTCAATTGCAAGTGCACAGGAATATATATTACATGAGTGCTGGGGACCCAGATTCAGGTCCTTAAGCTTTCATGGCAAGCACTTTATTAACTGAGCCATCTCCCCAGCTCTGTCCAACATTCTGACATTATAACATGATATTGTGATCTACAATTTATGTCTGAGAACCATGCCATTGAATTTCAAAAAGAACTACAAAGAAAAGCCCTCCTAATTTGAAGTCAGTTTGTTGTTTTAGTTGGATTCCCTTCAACCCTGTCCTAAGTACCTACAGCTACTTGTGGCCCACAGCTCACAGGTCTTACACCCCTGAAATGACTTCATAGCAGAGACAGATTCACGGGGAAAGCCTTGCAGCTTAAGCTAGGCGTTGGCAAAATAAAAAATGGAGGGTTGTTGAAAGGGACTGAAGGGGAACTGGAAGCAAGGGGTCTGTCCCATGAGAGAACTGCCCTAGCAGGGCAAGGACATGGTGTCCCTCATGCCATCTGTGCTGTGCCTTTCCAGCCTCTCTGGGGTGACACCGGCAGAGCGCTGGGAACATTTTCACCTACCTTATCTTCGTGGATTTCAAATTAGGTTTCAAAAAGCATTTCATTATCCGAACTAATCTACTCAGAATTCAATAAGCCGTAAATAAAGGGAGGTGAGGAGCTGATGTTTCAGACACGCCAGTAACCCATGCGTTGCCTCTCTTTTGTTGCTCCGCATGGTAGCACGCGGTGCTAAAGTGCACAGGCGTCAAGCTATGTGGCTCTGGGCAAATTGTTTAACCTTTCAGTGACATAGACTTTCAGTCAAAGGCAAATGCCACAGAGGTATTGGGTGGTAGAAAGTGGAGTTTATGCACAATGCCTGTTCCATGGAAGTGGTTAGTGTATACTGTCCATATTACCGTTATTACCAACTGGAGTTGTGGTTTTGGCTTTTTCCCATCCAACTCTTGCTCCTATAACTATGTGAATGCATCAGCACATATGTGCAAGGATGGTGGCGGGGTCTTAGAACCAGTGCTTTCTCATGCACCAGGGCCACTAACCACGTGTGGATATTTGCGTCGGGATTCATTGAAATGGGGGCTGGAGAACTGCTCTATAAAGTGCTCGCCATGCAGACGTTAGGACCTGGATTCAATCTCGAGTAGCCATGTCCACGTATTCAGGGTAGACCACATGGGACTGGGATTGGGTAACGTCCTGGGAGACTCATCCCTGGAGAAGATTGGTTGTTTTCTCAACAGTCATTGATTGTATGTAGTTCTTCTAGGGACAGGGCCTTCTGAGATCCTGCCTATCCACATTGGCCTGTCAACTGACGTTAGACTGCGACTCTTGTTTAGGTGACCATATTGCTGAGATTTAAGTAATACAGCTCCCCTGTTATATATAAAAGACACTTTCTCAGCAGACCATCTGGCCCGCTTATTCTTAAAATCTTTCCAAGTCGTCTTTCAAGATGGTCCCTTAGAGCTGGGTATAGGGATTGTGTTGTAATTTTACCAGCTGAGACTGGGCACCAATTGTTCTTTGTATTTTGACCAGTTATGACTTTCTGTGACTGAAGGCTGCGAGAAGGAAAGTCTTTGATAAGGAGCATGCAAACTTATTCTTAGGAAACTAAATGTTGGGAATTGTGGCTCAGACAACTTCATTCTTGATTGATTCCATAGTGTGAAAATCAGCCCTTTAGGGGATCCTTCAATGGTTCCTCTTGATGATAAAAAGGCTCTTACCGGGAATCACAGTCTCATTCAGGGGAAAAAGAAGGGGGAAATGGAGCCAACTAAGTCTTTCCCTGCAAGCAGAAAGAAAGGAGTCCTAAAAATTCATCTAGAAAATTTCCAGTTATGTCGCAGAGGGCAAAATTTGGTCATGTGGCCATCCCTAGATGTATGGAAAACTGGGAAATCAAGTCATTTATTGCCTTCTAAACTTTCTAACCAGGGGAAAGTTGGAGATGAATTTTGTTTCTGACCATGTATACATAGACCATGCTCTAAGCACAACCATTCATTTGGAAAGCAAGCAAGTGTCTGCAGGCCAGATTTGGCACAAGCTGAACATTTCAGACCACTAGGGTTCAAAACTCTGCATGTTCCTGAATTTTTTGGATATCTTGCTTTTGCTCTTTCTTAGATAGAGTGGCTTGTTTCTTTTTAATTTTGCTTCTGAGATCGAATCTTAGTGTTGAATGGTTTGAGAAAGAGAAGATCAGAAGCATGGTCCCCTGGCCCTTGGGCAGCTCTCCTTCATTGGGAATCTCAAGTATTTGTTAACTGGTCAACCTTCCCCTTCCTTCAGTGGCAACTATTGAGGCTCAGACTAGCTGTTTGCATAGGGGCTGTGCAGTAGTAAAGGTCAGACCCAGGGGTGAGGTTCAGTTCTCTGTGACTCCAAGGTCTGGCCATGCTCTTGACCTCAACCATTCTCTGCTGTAGAAGCAGCATTCTGCATGCTACAGGGGCATTCGAGATCCTGACCTCAAGCTCACTTTCTAACTAAATGGCTACCAAATTCATTCCCACTACTATCCATGCCCGCCACACACACACACACACACACACACACACACACACACACACACACACGAACTTTTCCTTCAACTCCATCAGATGCCTTACTGTCTCTAGAATCATCGAATTCCACTCCCCTCTCCCTTCCCTGAATTTTAAATATACACCCAAGTTAAATTGTTTCCTCTTGGAGGTGTGCTGCCAAGATAACTTTGTCCTCCGGTGTTTGTGACTTTCTACAACAGTGCAGCTCAGACCTCAGTAGGAATCGCCAGGGCACCGTGTTAAAACTCAGGTCTCCATTCAGGAGCTCTGACTTCATTCTAAGCAGCTAACCTGATAGGAAGCATGGGCATTATGCGGTATCTATCGCTGGTGGGTAGCCTTTACCGCTTGTTACCTTATAAGAAGTGTTCAGTTTCGCCATGCTGGGTCCCTTCACATGATTCCCACTGCTCCTGGCATAGTGAATGGAACGTGTTTTAAACTGAATGGAAATGTAAAGGAGGAAACAAAAAAAAACAAACAAACAAACAAAAAACATGTGCAGGAAAATTCATCTTCAGGTGTGAATTGGCGTCTGTGGACACAGAGCGAGAACGCTGAGCGGACGGATGGCTGTGTGACTGAGTGAACGACACCCGCTGCGGAGAGCAGGGCTCAGATCTGTGTGTCAAAAGTCTGCATCTGCTTCAAGTCATGGTCATTTCTTCTTCCCTGCAGGCGTCGCCAGCTGCCCTTGCAAAGAGTGTGTTGGCTGAAGTCCCAAATCAAGTCGTGGACTATTACAACGGAAAAGGGATTAAACCAAAGTGTTCATCGGAAATGTATGAGTCTTCCCGGACACTGGCACCATGAACTCCACACTTTTACAGAGTTCGGAAGCACTGTTCGCTAATATTTACAACTTTTATTCCTGTACTTTAAAAGAAAATAATGATAATATACATTTAAAGATAGCACGTCTCGGTGATTTTTGACTAATTGATATTTTTTTTTGCATGTGTAGCCCCAAGGCCTGATCTGTATTGTAAAAGACTTTTTACAATGAAATACAGTCGTAACATCCACTTTACAGCATGTTGCCTTGAAACAAAATGGTATACGTATCCATTTTTATACCGGTTTGTTGAAATTTTGCTAAATTTCTTATTATCTTTACACTGTAAAGCATTTTGAAACATTTCTTGAATGTTGATAGCCAAAACGTATTTGGCTTAATCTCCTATCTGATGAGAGACTTTTCAAAATGGCAGATGCATGGACTGTATTTTGCATGTTTAAAATAATAATAAAAAATAATCTTACACTGGTTTTGCAGTTGTTATCTATAGCCCCTCCCTGCTGAGAATGACCTCTCTACTAAATAAATTTACCTACCTAGAAGTAGCCTTTTCAAAGTGGAGCTGGGTCGTTTAGCCCAGTACCCATGTTTACACACTCCCATAGACACAAATTCCCTGAGAATCTTGTTCTAATGGAGCTTTTTAACGCCGGGCCTGAGGCTCTGCATGTCTCACAAGATCCTCAGTGATGCTCACGCATTCCTTGCACCGCACAAGGACCGGTGAGGTTCTGAACTCAAGGCTTTCACAATAGAAATCATCTCAACCAGGGCAGCTCCTAGCCTGCTAGCCAGTGGCACCTCTTCCCTGCTGGTAGCATAGAGGGCCGGCCCATCCCAGAGGTGAGAGTAGAAAGCAGTGGGGCTGATTCCAGAAGCTGCACACCTCACGTCAGTCTCACTGCTTTCCGGTCACACCTCTTCCTCCACCCAGACTGAGGAGCGCTCCTTCTGGCTTGCTCCTGCTTGGCTAAAAGAGGCGCCACAGCCTGCTGCATGGATGGTTCCAGTGCCTAGAAATTATTTCCCGAGATTCTTCCTTGGATCTTGAATGGAATCTTGTCCATGCCAAATAGCAACGTGGCTCCCCGAATTTCTGTTCTACTCACTTGGTCTTTGAGATCACTGTAGGGGCACCTTTTGGCCTCTTTAATCACTTCTGAGCACAACCCCCATAAGTGGAAATGACTGTGTAGGGTCAGGGTGTTTAGTCCGAATCTACGGTAGTCTTGAACCAAAACAATGACTTGTTTTTGCTTTTTTGATCTTCTCTTGGAGAAATGGACAATTGTTTTATAAGCTTCAAAAAGCACAAAGTAAAACTTAGTTTGGGTCAGAAAGAATGGTGAAGTGTATCCATAGCAAAAGAAATGTTTTGTTCGGGTAGGTTTAGGGGGAGGGCAGTAACAATTAATTAAGCAAATCAAATGTACAATTTCCAGAGCTATAATTATAGATCCTAATCTTGCAAATACATGTCAACCAAATGCATAACATTTTGGGAATGATGGTTAAAACAAATGTAAGACTGAAAAAAGTCATAAATGTTTAAATTGTATTGTTTTCTGAATAAATTGGGTACTTACAGAATTCTTTTTTTAAGAGTTGTGGTCTTGTTCCTCTTTTCAAAGCAAGATCCTGTCAATGAGGTGTATATTTCTCAGATATTTCTTGAGGGGCCATCAGGGGAAGACTGGTGCTTCCATCGTTGATTTGAAACTGAAATAGTTACATTCTGTATTACAGAAATACCTAATGAGCATTTCTACCCCCAAACCAGGGTATGAACATCTGTGTCTATGTGCCTGGTGTGTATGAAGCACTCAGTAGATGACATGTTTAGTCCATGCAGAGGTGAGCAATACAAAGAGGGAATAAACAAATAGCTTTGTCAGTGTGGCCTCTGATCCATCTCTGACCTGTAATAGATTTAATAGGTAGGTTGGGTGTTTGTGAGCATCACACCCCTGAGCACCATGACATGAGGTACCATGCTGTGCTCCAATATCTGCACGATGTCTTCACTCAATGCAGACTCCCTGAGATTCCAAGTCGATAAAGACTGTTTAATTTGCCTGGCAAAACTTTTAGGTGATTTCCTTCCCTTTTTATAACATGACTCAAGTTCAGCTCCAAATACAACATCACCTAACAATCACTTAAGGATATCTTATCTCAGGTTGTTATAACAAGATACCATAAACACAGTAGCTTAAAGAAGCAGAATTTTTTTCTCATGTCTTTGGAGTCGAGGCAGTCCAATCAAGGTGTCAGTCATCTGGACCTTCTCTTTCTAACTCACAGTTAGACATCGTCTTGCTTTATCTTCCATGATACAGAAAAAATAACTCTCTGGTCTATTCTTACAAGAACACTAACCCCACCACAAAAACCCCATCCTCATTACCCAGACACCCCCCAAAGTCTCTACCTGCCAATAGCATCATGGAGGACATCAGATCTTCCATGTGAGAACTGCGGAAGGGCACAGACACCCGTTCTACAACAAGAAGAGATTGTAACAGACACCGTTCTAAGTCCATCCATACAGCAGCCCCAGATAGGTAGTAACAGGCTCTCTATGAAGAGTGGAAATTGTATTTTCCTCCTTCCTGTCAGCCACCTCCCAGAACAGGTTTCTGAGTATACACCTTCTAAATGGAGAACTCACAGATGTTTCTGCAGAAACTAGGTGAGACAGAAAATAACCCTTATGGCCCCAGTGACTATTTGACTAAATCTCTCTGCTGGTGAAATGGGTGTATAGAGGAGCCCAGGGAGCTGAGCCCTCCATCCTAGGAGCCAGTTACTGTCCTCTTCCATGAAAGTGCTCTAAAATCAGATTTAAAAGCCTCACCATTGATGTCCCCTGACTCTCTTCTTAAACCTTGCTTGTTGGAGGCAGCATCCTATTTTATGAACCGTTTCAGCAACAAAAAGGAACAAGAGAATATGCATATATGTGTATATGATGTGGGTAAAATATGCACTTATTTCACACAAACATTTATGTAGTTTTGGATGGGGGATAAGAGGTGCACATGTCTGAAGAATCATTATATGACCCCAAAGGAGCTTGGCATTGACAACATGTATACAGTCAGAACAGAAAAGGGCACACATTCAGTACTTGAATGTACTTAATAATGTGTTTGGCATAGGTAAAGTTAACCCCAGGATCCTGTCTTTGTCAAATAAGAAAGGCAATATTAATTAAAACAACACTTTTTTTTTTTACTCCAAGTGGAGCCCCACCCCCTTTTTAATTGAAATTATTTGGCTGCTGGTAGGCGCATGTTTCTGACCAGCCAGAACGGAAGCTTTGGCTTTAAGGCAAATGTAGAAGTTCAGGATTTCCATTGACAGTGTGAACTACACAGACAGAGTCAGAGGAAGACATCTAGCAAGGAAATGCACTGCCAGCAGAGCCGTGGCAGCACGGTGCCCATGTGGTTCTCACACACTTTCTCTTGACTGACAGGCACAACACATTGATGAAAATTTTTAATGAAACGAAATAGGTCAAAGGAAGAATGAATAAGAAGTCAGGGAATCAAGGTTTTGGAAAAATTGCCATAAAATGAAGGGATGCTGTCACCAGCTGGAAATGCCACTGGTTGTCCATAACAAAGGCAGAATTGGAATAATGGATGCTGTGAACTCTGAACCCAAACCCCCATCTCTACCTTCTTGGTACTGTACTCACTCATTCATCGGTAATACATCTGCTATATTAACAGTAGATCATTAGGAAACCTGTAAGAAAGCAGGGAAAGTGCTGGGCATGTGGGCCTGAGCTCAAACCCACAGAACCTATTGAAAGTCAGACATGGCAGTCTGTGTCTTAATCACCTCCCTTCTACTGTGAGATGGGAAGCAGAGACAGGAGACTCATGGGAGCGCACAGGCTTGGCTATCTTGCTGTACACATAACAGTGAGAGATTTTTGTCTTGGAGTGGACGAAGAAGACGGTCACCCAGTTATCTTCCAACATTATGTGCACACACCTGAATTCACAGATATAAACATAGGAGACACACATAGAGATTTAATAATAAAAAAAAAGAAAGAAAACAGACCATTGCCCCAAATTTGGAACTATCTCTCTCATCTGAGGACGTCATCTTCCTCTCATAGGCTCCACACACCATGAGGTGGGGTTCAGTAGATCCTCGGGATATTCCCACTATCTACCCACTAAGAATATCATGTAGATCAGACACATTCGTGAATGCTTCCAGGAGCTGAGCCAGCCCTGTGAGTAATCGAGAGCAGAGAATAAGAATGGAAGGCAAGGGGAAAGTGAGCGGAAATATGGACCCAGTGCAGACTGCCTTCAGGATAACTGAAAACCCTGCTGCTCGGCATGAAACTCTTTAATATCACATGTGAAAAACACGTGCCAGTTTACCAGTTTTTCAAAGCAGTACAGGAGCCTAACTGTACCAGTCAAAAGAAAAATAACTGCTCCGGAAAGTTGGCTCTGGAAAACGAATTTGGTCCCACAGAGTCATCTGGCATCCTCCTCATCTCGTCTCACAACCCTTGAAGACCATTAGTACTCTTTCCTGAGTTTGTTTCTGTGATATTTGTTGTATTAGAAGTTTGAAATTAGAAGTCAAACATGGTGGTACCCAATTGTAATCCCAGCAGTCAAGACATAGACCCATGAAGATCAAGAGTTATAGGCTATCTGACACATTCAAGACCAATCTGAACTAAATGAGACCCTGTCTCAAAAAAAATGGAAGCTAAATAAGTAACAATAGTCAACTCATTATATGTTATTATCTATAAATTTTTAAAGAGTTGGAGAGAGAGCTCAGCGGTTGAAGAGCTAGCAAATGTCATGTAAGTTTGAGAACCAGAGTTCCGATCCCCAGAACCAACATCAGGAGCAGGTGACTATGGAAGCCCACCTAGAAATCAACCCTCTCAAAGTGGAAATGGGGGATTCCCATAGCAACCTGGCTAATGAGACCAGTCATATTGGGTTTGATTGAGAAGCTCTGCCTGAAAGAATAAGGTGGAAGAGCTAGCAGGAGGGATTCCTAGCCAGGCAGTGGTGGTGCATGCCTCTGTCCCAACACTCAGGAGACAAACCAGCCAAATCTTTGTGAATTTGAGGCCAGTGAGGTCTACAGAGTGAGTTCCAGGATAGCCAAGACCACACCGAGAAACCCTGTCTCAAAAAAGTGATTCCTAACACCAACCAAAGATTTCTACAGGTATGCTCATACACATTTGTGATGTGTGAGTGTCCCCCAAACACATGCCCACATGAGTGCACATACCACATACACGCACACATAAAAATGAATAAAACAAGTAAAAGTTATATTTTTATTTAAAACTATTTTCAAAAAATAGAACAATACCGATAGTCTTCTAATTTTGCAAATCTTCAGTGTCTTTCTCTTGCCTTATCAATTTTTCTTTTATTTTCATAAGCACATACTAGTAGAACATATTCATCTGGTGTAGTGTGATGTTTCAATACATTGTAGGATGACTAAGTCGCAGCAATGAGCATATCCATCACTTTGAATGTTTATTATATTCTGGAATAGTGTTCAGTCAAAAATATTAAATTCTGTCCTTTGAGACAAGATAGGTGAATTTAGAGGATGTTATGTCAATTGACACATGCCAGGCAGAGAAACACAAGTGTTACATGACCTCACTGACTGTAGAATCTTAGAAGAGTAGGAAGTGCTTACCAAAGCTGGGGATGGCATGATGGTGGGGGTGTAGGTTAGTCCGCAAGGGGAGCAATGCTCTGGCTGGAGTACAACCCGAAAATCGCAAACCACCCGTGACTTCGCGTTTCTATTGCTGTGATTAAACACCATGACCAAAAGCAACTTGGGGTAGAAAGGATTTATTCCAGATTATTACTCTGAAGTCACACTCCATCACTGAGAGAAGTTGGCATAGAGACTTCTGGCAGGAACTGAAGTAGAGGCCATGGAGAAGCGCTGCTTTCTGGCTTGCCCAACCTGGTTTTCTATACAATGCAGGACCATCTGACCAGGGGTGGCACTGCCCCCAGGCCCATCTTTAAGGATCATTAACCAAGAAAATGCCCTCAAAGTCTTGCCTACAGGCCAAACAGATGGAGCCAATGTCTTAATTGATGTCCCTATTTTTAACTTTTGGTTTTAATCATTCATTTTATTTTTCCATCTCTTTCAAAGTCAAGCCATGGTAATGTTTACAAATGCAGAACATGAAATAAGCAATAAAACCTGTCTGGCACTTGCCAATAGCATCTTTGCTTATAGTGAATTTTGCAACGTTGTGCATTGGTCATTTAGAACGTATTTGTTTACTCAGGTGTATTAGTCTCGATGCTTACACAGTTGATTGAACAACAACAAAGCATCACATGATCTATCGCTGTGTAATATCGCCTGATCTCATCAAAAAGTATTGAGAATCTGTCAAAGTGTGGCAGCAGATTCAATTTTTTAAAAATCCTAATCTTTGCTAGAAAGCTCAAATGTTATCATTGGCAATAAACCCTGTCAGATGTTCTTCTTGGAGTGGCAGGCTCACTTCACTTAACTTCAAGAAAAATATCTCCAAA